ATGGCGAGGAAGTGGTCGTTCACAAAACCAAGAGCTCGTTTCCGAACTACCACATGTTCCACAACTTTGAAATTTCTATGAATGATAGTTTGGGGAAGGAAATTAAGAGATTTTTGGATATCTGTGAGAAAACCACGCAAAACTCTCCTCGTCCATCTATTCGTAGCACGGCATCCTCCGGTGACAAGGGTCAATACGTACAAGATACTCTGACTGGTGAAGTAGACAGGTTTGACACTGCCCAAAGTAGACCTGACCTTCCTCAGAGACCCTCCAGAAGCAATCCCCGTGCCAGTGTAAGTGAAATCTTTTCCCCGGAATACTAGCACTAGCACCTTTTTCGTCACTCTTTTAACAAATTGTTTCAATTCGTAGGAAAAAAATTATGCAGCGTCAGCGACTGTTCTCAAATATGGAGTTTTTTTAAAGTGTCGTAGGTTTTTCGGTTTTTCGGTTTTTCATCTGAGTGAATGAGTTTGTTTCCAGTTAAAAAAATGTGGGAAGGGACATGTGCATACCTTGTAGAGGTAGCTAACGTGTGTAGTGTTTGTGTGTGGTAGAAAGAATCCAATAAAGAAAGAAAATGCAACTAATCACCATGCCGATGAATTTCATAGACATGCGGGTGTGATGGACATGAAAAATGAAAATGAAAAACTTACTGGTGCCATGGGATTCTTAATATAGTCTTTCATGGCCTGGCTGTACTTGTGCCACTAGCCCATGTCCACCAGAGTAAATAATCCAAGGTTGAAGTTATGGTATCGACAGACTTTCAGACAATGTGGAGCAGCACTCGCTATTTTCTATAGTCCAGAATGATTTTAAACAGCGGTATCTGTAGATTTCTAACCCAATGACAAGGGCCCCAGTCTGAACTTTGAAGTTTGCGATTTTGTCTAGCAGAATCTTTGTGAAGAGGGGAATAGAGATTGAGATACTGTTTACTGCTTTGTCACAAATTGGGTAGGATTTAAATAGTGCTAAAATAAGCTCAACGTGTAGGTTAAAATAAGAATCATACTTATTTGTCAAAAGCATGAAGGAATTCTATCTTACACACTTGGAGGCCCTATTTATATGGTCACAATGTGGTACCATATTTTGGCTTCTATTCTGTAGGTAGGTTACTTTATATTTCATTTTATTTTTCGTTGTATTAGTTAGTTTGTAGTCCTAGTTTTAGTATCGCAGTACTTTGGTAGAAACACTCATACAAAGTTCATTACTTAAACCGGCGAACCTCCACAGCCATGAGTGTTCTCCAGCCTGTAACTGTCTTCTTTTCCCTGATTGCTTCATTTTTCTAACTAAGTACGTTCTACATCACTTCAACAGAGTATCTTAATATCATCTTGGTACCTGACCTCTACCATTTCATGACAAGTGTGAGCTAATTAAATTGAAGACAAAATCAAGTAAAAACGAAAACTATGAACATAAAAGTTTTCCTATAAAAAATAAAAGAAATTTTATATTCTGCAATTCTCAAAAACAAAACCAAAAAAAGGAAATGACCACTAAAAATAGAGAACATGGATGCGCCCTCCGTGGATTGAACACGGGACCTTTAGATCTTCAGTCTAACGCTCTCCCAACTGAGCTAAGCGCGCCTTCCTTCCGGGTTCCCGATCAGCGAATGACTTTCTTTGATTCTCCATTCCACTCAATCAAGTTCGACCTTTGGTTTTGGTAAATTTTCTCTGCGGATTGTTTTCTAGTAAAGGGTATCCCGCAGACCTTGATGAATAAGCCTGTATTTACCTTTCGTTGTTTTTGTGATATCAAGTCACCAGAACTGAGTTTCAAGGCCAGTTTGTTGGTGATATTTCTGTGGTGTAATTCTATATGTGTAGTGATAGCAGTAATGAGGTCATTGATGTTGATGAATCTACCTTTGTAGTTTACCTTTTGGCAACCCTATTCATCTCTCTTAGTTAGTATTATTTTTTAAGAATTCCAACCCATATGTTTAGTCCGTTTGATTGGTGTGAGCTGGCACATTCCTCCCATTCTGTCTCAAGAAAGGCAATAAATTACATGTGGACTAGGATTTCAACAGGGTAGGCCCTATACTGATAGATGTGATTTAAGCATTAGATCCACTACAGTATGTGTGGGATATAACTTCCCTCCCCTGGCACTGGGCATCACTACGAATTTCAAGTGAAACATTCGTAAATGGACCTTTTATTTTAAATACATGTTTCGCAGTTTGGAGTGTCAATTTTCCTAATCAATGTGAACGATCTAACGCATCGGAACCCTTTCTCGTTCAGTCAAGCATGTCGGAATTTCTTCCATATAACGGGATATCGGGTTGGCCTTGCTGGGGTTAAGCGTAGCGTATATTTCATAATTCTCCAGGGGAAGGTCGATGGCCAATGGCTGTGCAGACCAGGGTGTCATGGGCCTTCGTGTCGATTCAACTTCATTACCAGTACAGGAAGCTGACCACAGTAAGAGTAAAGTAAACGTAGTAAATGTTCTCTGCATCAGACCTGGAAGGAGAAGATTGCTGTAGTAGGTATGCAATTAAAGATGCGTAGGAATTACGTGAATAAAAAAAAATAGATACACATCAAGCCTAATCGACAGCGGAAAGCTGAAAGTTACCTAAAGGATTTATGGGACATATAAGCCCATTTTAGAAGAACCAAATACAAAAACTGTAAACTAAACAGCTGGAGGGTATTTACATTGCTCCCACCGTTTGGTTCCGTTAAAATATGGATCCAAACTGACCGTACATCACGCTTCCGATATTTTCTCTTTGGGACTGGTCAGTATACCACAATCACACCACTATGAGACCTTTCGTAAAATCTTGAAAGGAATGTCGATAAACGCCAATGGATTCCAGAAGGGGCGGGGAGTAGTATCTTCCTACCCCAAATATGTTTACGTACATTTCCCAGTGATATCTAGTGACCAGTTGACATTCCGGGAAATGATTCGTGGAATGAAATCATCGTGTCGAAATTTTAAAAGGATTTCCAGGGAAATATTAATAAAGTGGAAAATGTGAATGGTGTAAATTCCATTGGTAACCTGTCAGTCAGAGTAGTATCCTCGCGTATTAATCATCATGCGACTTACTTTACAACTTCTATTAATTTGAAGAACATTTGTACGAATACTATACAACTACACATGGGCTCATTCCACGGCCGAAGTGACTATTAGTCCAGTCTATCGCACTAATCTTCGAAATTATGTAATAGAGTTTTACTTTGGTACACCTGTGTAGATCGAAAATACTCGAGAAGGATTTCAATAATTGGGCTTCACTATCTATTATATGCATACTAAATATAAATTCACTCTTCACATTGCCATTATATTATAAAGGCAAGCTCAGGCTAGACTGAGTGATATGGTAAAAAGAATAAACCAACGCTAACCATAGGAGGGGACTTCCAATTGACATATTCGAACATTTTGATATTTTTCAAAAGCAATAAGGATCACATAATACATAAATTCCAAATAACTGGGCTGCATTTGGTAAACTTCCCACCACCACGTATACAAATAAACAAGGTATTAATAAAACGAATAAATAAAATGTAGTATAATTGAATCTTGTACAATATGAGGCAATAAAACAAAGCTAAAAGAGGCAGAAGAGGATGAAAAGTGAACACATCGTAAAGGGCAGTAGCATGTGAAACTAGGCCGACCAATCAGGGTATACCACCATGCGGTTGATGGTTTCCATGCAACGATATCCCACACATGCGCACATATGGCATTACTTTACCCGTAGGCGAGAACTTCGCATACCCCCTTTGTATTGCAATACGTGCTGT